GTTTTGAGTGTCTAAGATAAAAATTATAAATGCGGATGCTGGAGTAACATTATGCTGTCATGCGAAATGAAGAAGTGTTTTTCCACCCATTAAGAGGGTGTAAAAATTTTCAAAATGTGTTTACAAATTTTTACAAATTATGTAACAAATTTTGGTACCGGTTTTAAATAGTTATTTTAACCTGTAGATGCCAGCGTAACTCACCTATTGTGATGGAAAATTTTTTTAATAATTGGGTTGAAATCACAATTCATGTGTAGGTATACTATTTTGCTCACCTGAATGTATTTAATGTGCCAGTTGTTAAATTTCCTGGTCTATGAATTCCTATTTTTGCTTCCTTAAGACGTAAATAAAACTCATCATCTTCAAGTCCCCAACCCCAATAGTTATTGCTTAAGCCATTCATTTGCATAAAGTCTTCTCTGATAAAATTAAAAAAGATTACAGGAAAAAAATAAGTTTTCTAAATTAAATATAATAAATCACATACTTGGTAATAAGTAGAATGCCCCCTACAAATGAAGCATAATGATACCGAGGATGTAAATGAGGTGCAGATATATGGTTAACATGACCAGATGGAGGGTAATGATAATCGAGAGCAGGGTTTAGAGGCAATAAATCAACATCGTGCATGGCAATGTAATCAATGGTATTGTACGATGAAATTATTTCTTTAAAGCCAGCATTTATCAATGAACCTCTGTTAAAACGGTACTGATCAACCTGAATGAAAGGAAAAATCAATTTAAACCAGCTTATAGTTATACAATATTGTACTTGTGAAATTACTTGGTTGATAACAAATATTTCATGCAGTACATTTTGATTTTCCAGGAATGAATGAATGTGTGGTATAAATTCTAAAAGCTCATCAAATCTTTCTCTAAATGGTATTACAATGCCGAGTTTATTGCTCTTTAAAATAGGCACCTGTTCTTTTAACTGTACACTCCCACCATTTTCTAATTCTCCTAAAAAAAAAATACATTTTTACTTTTTACATTTTAATTTTGAATTACAATTCAAATGACATAAAAGTTTAATATAGATTTCGATAGTTAGATTATCTAATAGATAATAATTATAATTAGATTTACTTTAAAATCAACATACTTACGGACATATAATAGTGACAATAATAAAGTGATGACTAACGTGAGTATGATTCCAATCAATAAAACTTTAGCTTTAAATAACATGGTTATAAATTTAAATATTTACCGACTACGTTTTGGTATTCATAATAGTTCAAGTATTAGGCTCAATAATTTAGAATCATGAACAAGACGTACATATTTTTCATATTAACACGTTTTATAAAAAATTTTTTTTATAACATGATAATGTATTTAATTTTAACTATTTAAATTAATAATCCATTACATTGAAGACGTTAGACCAAACCTAGACATCCGAGATTAAATCATCGTAAACATTTTTATTGGAGTTTTTTTTAAATATTTAGTTTTTTTTATCAGGACTTAATTCTTCAACGTTAAACACACACAACTGTTATCAATCAAATATGTTATCAAAATTAAAATATTATCATTTTTATTATAGGGCTTTATTTGTGCTTTTAGATAAAATTAATACAATTATTACAATATATTTTATAATTCAATAATCATTATTAGAATTTAAAACACATTTGTAAATTAGTAAGAGTTGAATAATTCCTCATGTCATCGTCAATAATGGTATGTTTTATGAAAAAAAGTTTCTACTGTTTTGTGATTTAGTTAAGTATTGTAGATTGTGTCTAAAATTATATGATTTTCTCTGTTTCAATTTGTCTTTATATAAATATGATGCTCCTACAATAATATATATATATATATATATATATATATATATAATCTAAATTAAAAACTAATGAAATATTTCTTGGTTTAACTATTTTAGTGTTTCAGTCTTAACTTTAAATCAATAACTAAACTATTTTATTTACACTATAAACATACTAGGTAGTCTAATCAAAATGTTATGTGTTTTAGAGATATTATTTTCTTTTATATCTGAGGCTCATGTACAAATTACATTTAGTATATTCAATAATTATAGCTTAGTATATGATATCATGTATTTTAGATGGACGATAGCGGTATTGACAGTGATACTACAAAATGTCATACAACTACAAAAAAAGAAAATGATCGAGTAACTATACAGTATTATTTATTGATGTATTAAACTATTGAAATTAAGATTAAATATTTTATTTTAATTTTACAATACAGAATACTGATGAAGAGAGTAATACAAGTGATTGTTCCATAAGAGTAAAAAAACCTTCATTTTTTCAAAAAAAACTAGGTAAATTAGCATTTCAGTCTGTTATATCATTTATGATTATAAGATTTTAGTGTAGAAGTATTCTTATTACCCTATTTTATTTTTATTTTGATATTTTGTTTAGATTTTGCTTTGTTTCCTTAACATTTACTGAGTTTTCAAATTATTTTATCAATGCACGATGAAAAAAGTACAGTGGTAAGATTTTATGATTTTTTTTTTTTTGTAGTGATTAATGTTATTAATTTTATAATTATAATTATATTCCCTTAAAATATTTATTTTTTTTATAGTTATACAATTTAATTATTATTTTAAATATTTTAATATTTTTTGTGTAAAACTATAGAACAATATGGTAAACCGGGTATAATGGAGTATAATCAAATGGCTGTTCCAACTAGTAAATCATCTAAGACTGAAAAATTACCTGTATTAGTAGACTGGGATTCATCAGACAGGTATTAAATTATACTTGTTATTTGAATTCGTCATTAAATATATTTATTTTGATTTACAGTGAAATAGAAATACGTTTTTTTCCGGGACCAAAGGCTAGACAAACATTGAGCGATACATTTAGTTTACAAGAATTTCATGGATCAATAGAATCAGAGGACTTAGATCTGATACCACCTCAACATACCACTAAAAGCGATAATCAGTGTTGTACTTTAGTTTTGCAAAGGTGTAATATTCTTTGAGATATTTTATTCTTATGAAATTCTAATTTCACAAAAACATATGCATAGTTATATATACATACAAATAAATAAATATATATATATATTATATCAAATTTACTGTTAAACATTGTGTTGACCAGTTTTAGTAATATTGACTGATGTTAGAAGCTGCGATGACCAATGATGGTATTTATTATAAATGTTCAAGTATTTTGTTTTTTTTCATTGTTTTGCCAATAAACAGTGTAATTATGAAATAATTTAATTTTTTCTTTGCATATTGTTAAAATATTTATAAATAACAGTATTTGTTTAACATTTTAATAAATAACATAGTATAATTAAATATTTAATAATGCAAGTAATAAGTTTAATTTTCTAGCTGTGAAAATTAATTTGCATATTAGAAGAAAGCTGGGTGTCTTCACAACTATCATTATATTTATTAAACCGTTAACTTTTGTCATATCTTCATTCATCCAAATACCTAAGTAAATATGTTAAACATTGATAGTTCATGATTATTTTGGAAATTTTAGAATCCAATTTGTGAAATAAGAATACATTTAGCTTTTTTAGTATTATTTGACAACTTCAACAGTAATTGTATAGTTTTTTCATACCCAAATAAGGATAACATATGTTATGAATATCCTTTAGACATGAGCATATGATAAGTATTCATCTTTACAATTTAAGATGAAATGTTCATTATACAAATAAATTAGTTAAATAAAGTGCATAGGTCATATAGTTATGATGAGTTATGATGAGAATCAATACAATTTATTATCATATTACATTATGTTACTTATATTGTATGGGACTATGGGTGCGCATAAAAACCATAAAATCTTATATACTATTCATAATCAATGATATTCCATAACTATATAAACGAGAAATGAGTAACACTGATGGTGTATTTATTTTATCTGGCTTATGTTGCATTTTCAAATTACTTCATAACATTTTAATGTTTATCAGTATTTTATATTATACTGTTGATCGTAAAATATAGATATAATATTTTTATCTAGTATAGAACTACAGCTAAATAATTTAGATAATAATTATCTTAATAATTATTATTAAATATCTAAGTATAATACAAATACTCTGAGCTTCACTTACATAGCTATAGGTATAATGTACTTATTTTAATGTATTAGTTCAATCGTAAAATTTAATTATATACAATAAATTTTAACTTTCAATCTTAATAATTTTTTTATTATTTTTTTTTCGCTTTTATTGTGGTCTGCTAGATTTTGAAGTTCTACAAATTTTTCCTTTAGTTAATTTGAGTTGCCCATCCCTGATATAGACAATGAATAAAAAACTGAATACACCATGAACTCTTGTAAGTACACAAATTGCCTATATAGAACGCCGCGAGTTAGTTAATAAAATCAGTTTTTTTTTTAACATCTTAACTTAGTAACAGGGTATATTCTAAGGAGTTGTTGGGAATTAATTTTGTGCTATTGTAAAACTATATATATTCCATTATCCAAATCATAAAATAAATTATTTTGGCTAAATAAAACTGAAATGGGGGTGAAATATACCAATAAATCAAAAGAAAAAACAATTGTTTAAAGGCATATTTGAAAAAGCTAATAACATAAAAGATTAAGAAGAAGTAGAAGTAAAACCATTAAGTATCAAAAAGAGAAAATTTTAATAAATATTTTTACCCATAAAAATAATTGTTTTGTATAATTATATTATTATATAATTTACATTTTTTCAACTATTAAAAAGTTAAATCATAAATGCTTATTCAACGGCTGTATTAAAAGTGTTATGTATAATTATATTTTATTATTTATAATTATTATACAAGTTAATTTAAAAGCAAATATAAATGAAAACTCACTCAAAATCTCTTTTAGCAGATATAGGTATACTTTATTCATAATACATACTTATTGCATACCTAATAATATTTATTGCAACAATGTATAAAGAGGTTTGTAAAATAATTACGCTGTTGACAAAATTCTTAGAATAGACCCTGTTTAGTAATATATATTATAATCTGGTATACTATACAATTTGTGTATTATAAACAAAAAGGCTTAGTTTTATAAAATAAATAGGTTCACAAAATTCGATTATTAATTATAAAATGTGATTCTCGAAAACATCTTACGATATTTGCGTGATGAATAATGCATTATGTTCATTAATTGAGGTTTAGTCGACGTTACTAAAGACAACTGTTGCAAAGAGTGGTGTATTTACAAACAATTTTTTTTTCGGGTGGGGGGGGTTGTCATCATAAATTTTTTTTATAAATTAGTATAAAATGATCAAAATTAAATTTTTATCTGTTTTTTTATCTTCTTATAAAAAAATGTAATTTCATTAATCATAAACTATATAATAAACTCTAGCTTCCTTCCTTTATTTTTCAATTCATCAATAACTCCATCACTGATAATATTTAAATCTGGACGAATCGATAATATGGCAAGGTCATTGAGTCTTTTCTGAAACAAAATGCGATCTTCATCTATTTCCACAGTTAGTAGACAAACATTTTCTGCAAACTACAGGCTACAGCAATAGGCATATTAGGCAATATAGGCAATATAGCAATAGCTTGTGAAGTATATAATGTGTTTCGACTTGCACAGTCAAAAACCTCAATATTATTGTAACCTGGTTTTATTAGTTTTTATAAAATATAGTTTTATAAAATTAATGAAATTTATAAATTTTAAATTTTTTCTTTATCCTTCATTCGAGTTTATAAAATTAATAAACTTTAAATTGATTGAAATTTAAAAATTTGAGGTCTGGAAATTTTCTGGTGGGTGGGAACTCCAAAACCCTCCCCCCCCCATAAATAGGCCACTAGTTGCGTGACGTTTTATATAAATTGTGTATAGTATAAGGTGTCTCAAAAAGAACACAAGCTTTAAATCTGCTATAAATTAAATTGATTTCTTTAAAAAAAACATAACAAATATATTATTCTCTTCAGGAGAAGTTAAGGTTTAACAGTGAAAAACAATATCAAGCATATGACCCTCCCTATTAGGCCTACAGGTGATTATTCTTTCCATAAAATTTACCATCACTGGATAACACATTTCCCCATCAAGTTCATTGAGGACACGACGAATTTCTTGCTTAAGTTCCAAGACATTTCGAACTTTGTTCTAGTAAACTCGTGACTTAGTGTATCCCTATAAGAAAAAATCACACGGCGGCAAGTCGCAAGATCGAGGTTGGTAACTTTGGCCACGCAACGAGGTTAGTCTGTCCGGGAACTTTTCATGCAGCAGAGAGATTGTTTCTCTTAAAGTGTAACAAGTTGTGCCGTATTATTGTAATCATAGAAGAATATCTACTGAGCTCAGTAATTTTCTTTGGCCTTATTTAGACCAAATGAACATTAAAAATGTTTGGTTTCAATTTGTCATTGTAATTTTCAATAAGTATTTATGCTTATAGTATCCGGTAAAAAAGGAAAATATACACGACTGCAAATCAAATCCTGTCCACAGATTTAACATATTAATAAATAGGAAACGGATTTATATGTAAATGCATATTTTTATTAAAACAAGATATTTAAGATTCGATAAGAGTGTTTATGGTTTAAATCATTCCTATTAAAATTATGATACTTTTATTTTACATATTTTTACATATTTTGGTATAATTACATATTTTTACATATTTCACTAATTTTTAAATATTTTTAAACATATTTTTATCATTTCATCATTCATACGTCTTCTTCGTACGAAAATATTATTTTAAAAAATTATTTCAAAATTAGATCCAGAAACTTTTATCGCTATTGGAAAAGCTCAAAGTATTATGCAAAATGAAACATTGAAAATAATTTAATTTTAATTAAAAATAATTTAACAAAATTATTAATAAAAAATATGTCCCCAAATGATAATATGCAAATTGTTGAATCAGCGATTAAAACTCGTAAGCGGACCAATAGATGTCGTAAAAAAGAAAATTCATGCTGTTACAGAAAAAAATTCCAGGCAATATTGATTTTAAAACAATCAATGACATAATGAATGGCAGACAACCTTTTAAAAATTTGGAATTATCGCCTTCTGATAGTATGCACTTGAAATATGCTTTTAATACATCGGTTGATGTGAAACGATAATTTAGCCGTTTTAAAAATATTTTGATACCTAATAGGCGACATTTAACATTTGATAATTTACAAGATATTGTAATAATTCAATGCAACAAATCTTTTTGATAATTTAATAATAATAATCACTTTTTTTTTTAAATTTCTTTTTCCCACATATTTGGATGATTTTAGTACATATTTTATAAATTATACTTACATATATATATATATACATATTTCTGTATTTTTATTACATATAAATCCGTTCCCTATTAATAAATAAATCTATACGTATAAAATCCAAATACCACTCACTCACTGATCGCTATATCTCAAAAACTACGCAACGCACGGACTTGAAATTTGGAATAGAGGTCCTTTTCATATTTTCACCGTGTAATAAGAAAGGATTTTCAAAATTGTTGTTTTAATGGAGTAATTAATAATTATAATTATTCACTGCCAATACGTATTGTGTGGCACGGCGGCCCGCGGGTTTCCAGCTACCTGCAACATATCCTTTTTGTCCGTCGTCGTCGTCGTGTAGATAAGAATAATTGTTCCGAGAAGTTAATCGATAAAAATAATCTCAGCGTACACAAATACTCATATTATATTATATATATAGTAAGAATATAAAATCTAAATACCACTGACTCACTGATCGCAGAATCTGAAAACTATTCAATGTACTCCCTGAAATTTGGAACAGTCTTTCACTGGGTAATAAGAAAGGATTTTTCGAAAATCGCATATTTAAGGGTTGAAACAGTTTTAGACTGGATGTATACATTTATCAATTTTTGGTTACCTAGGAAATATTTGATTTGTTTTGTATGTTGATTTTAATAATTACCGATTAAGAATTATGTAAATAATTAAACTGTATAACAACATAATCGAAGCCATAATTTGAAACGGAAAATTTAAAGGTGAACATGTAATATTACCATACATTCCAATGACTCCAACAGATTAGCCATTGGAATTCAAAATTTTGTAGTTTCCAGAGCGACTCGCTTTTGCAATGATCTTTAACAAATTATAAAGACACTTAAAACAAGTGTGTGGACTGAATTTTGAAAATTCATGCTTCTCACATGGATAATCGGTGTGGCCTGCTCACGCGTCAGAAAACCTGATTTATTTAGGTGCGTAGCCAGGGGGGGGTGTTACAGGTGTAGTAACACCCTCCTTTAACCGTGTTATAATTAAGTCTTATAAAGGTAAAAATTCATCATAAACCATGATGAAAACATTTTTGTCATAACGAAATATACATATAACAACAATGCAAAGCCGGGATCCGATTTCTCATTGCACCGTTTTGTCTATTAAACCAAAGCCGTAGTTTCGTGTACTATCACACACGATGTAAAATAAATGGGTACATATGACAAAAATGTACATTTGAAATGTTAATAAAATACTTAAATACTTTCTCATAGAGTAGTACATTACACACGAATATATATTCATGTATAATGTACTAATTTGTATGATTGTATGCTTGTATATAGTAAAGTATACGTAAAGTAATTATTTTGTTGTGTATAATTTTGAATAACACCCCCCTTTTGAAATACCTAGCTACGCACCTGGATTTATTTGTGTACACACCATAAAAGGAAAAAAAAAATCCAAATACACTTTAATAAATAGCATTTATTTGAAACATCGAATTTTCAGACATTTCTCAATAAAATGAATAAATAAAAAATAATAATCCAAAATAAAATGAACATTATTGTAAGGATATTAGTATATGCTTAAATATAGTAAAATTTACAGCAAGGTGTGATGGACATGGCTATATTTAATATTTACTTATTATAATACATTACAAATTAATATTTCAACCATTATTTTGGGTGATTTATATTTAAAAAGTCATAGGTTCAACGGTAACATCCAAAAAGAGTTGAACACTCACAATTTTCTCAACGGACAACGTCAGGTATTACTCACTCATTGATCATCGCTACATCTAAAAAACTATATGAATTCGAAATTTGACATAGTGATCTCTCCAATATTCAATACATGCAATAAGAAGAGATTTTAAAAAATATTGGAACCAGAAAATACGGTAATTCAGCGTATCACCAAAATTGCTATACTGATTCATTTGAACTTTCGTTTTATTTGTTTTATAACCACCAACAGTTACACCAAACTTGGCTTTAAATAGTGTAAAGTAATAACCCATTAAAACCTATGTCACGACCAAGAATGATCCGTGCGAAGCCGGGTAATTAAGCCGGTAGTTTATTTAGTTACTATATGAATATATTCAGTGGTGGTCCTACGATGGAGGGGGTGGATCAAAAATCTGATAATATATCTATGTTTTATATTATTTTAAGTATTCTGTTATAAGTCCTAAAAAGAAATAAAATTTTTTAATATTACATGAAATAGATTTTTAAATTTTTTTTTATGAGAATTATTTTTAAGGATGATGTGAAAAATATTTTGCCCCCTCCCCCTCTTGGAATTTGTCACTGATATAGTATAAAATATTTTAGGCCTAAAGGACATTTTGAATTTTTAAAATGTTTAATAACTTGCTTGTGTTCAAATTTAAAAAGCTCAAGAAAAATTCACACACCAACAATTTTTATATGAACCATTGAGTTTTGTTTTCTTATTTGGTTGTATGAATCAAATGTAATTAGTTCAAATTCATGCTTTGAGTGTTTTGCCATCTCTTATAAAGCGAGATTATCATTATTGTTGTTTTGCACGTATTTCCGATTTTAAATGAATAATAGTTTATATGCTCTTTTATTATGTTACAGCAGTAATCGTATTCAAGAAAACTTTTTTGTGGGCTTTTTTTTAAAAAAATATACTATATAATAACTGACAAATTTCAATATTTCAATGTCTTCGAGGGATTTTATCATCTCCTATTGCAACGTCCCCGATTGGACATGTGTAGAATACAGTAATTGTAACTGTTTACGATCGCATATTAATTGAGTTTTTCCTCACTGGGTACGTATGTACATAATATTAATTTAGAAATATGGATTTGTCGTCGTTAGTAGTAGCGGCGCGTGTCGATATCGGACGCGCGTGACGATGAAGTAGGGTGTTTATGAGTGATGGGCAGGGGAAAGGGAAGTTAAAACGTGATTATTTTAAAAACTCACGGTGGCTACGGGTAGGAGGGGAAAAGCCGAAATCTGTAACGTGCGCGCGCGCGCGCGCGTGTGTGCAGTGTACGCATGATGCCACGCGTGCTGTACAGACGATATACACAAGTCTATAGGATACAATAAATGTATTTGTATACAAATATTACACAAATGATTTGCATTGTGTGCATTCTGTGTATTTATAATTTTTTTATTTTTTTTATGATATTATGATATTTTTTATTATGAGTAAGATTTTCATAGAATAATTTATATTATCTTAAAACTTGAACTCAACAAAAATCGTGAGAGGGGGGGTTGTGGGGGATTGAACAATTGCGAAACAATCAGGAAAAAGAAAAAATGCCAACTTCGCACACACACCAGTAGCGGTTATTCATGATGTTCAAGGGATCATCAATAAAGTCAACTCTCCCCCATATTATCCGTTGCTAAGACGGAAAAATATTTTGTTATCAAATCATGAGTTTGAAAATTTGCAGACAGATGTTGATGGGCCAGCGATATAAAAAATTTAAAAAAACCAAATCCTAAGGGGGACGCCGATCCACCTATCGCTCCCCCCCCCTATAACCGTCATTGATACACACACACACACATACTTAATGCAGTAAATATTTATGTATAAATGGAACACGTTGACGTCGTCGTTGTCACGTGTACGCGCGCCGTAAAATGTTGCGAGTGCAAACGAAGAACACGCACACAGCAATGAACACACCACCTATACAGCGCGCGAAGGGAAAGGGGCATGTTTGAATTTTTTTATTTTTCCTCGTCCCCGCGTTTCCCGGCTTCCACGTCCATCGCCGCGTAGCTTTTTCGGCGCGCGCGAGCGTCGTGTGGGTGCACGTCGCACACGCGTACGCGCGCGCACAACGCAATATTGGACGCGAACGCGCGCGCCTTCTCTTCACCCGTCGCTCTCTCGCACCCGCCACCGCCGCGACCGCCGCCGCTGTTGTCGAACACGCGCGCGTCGATCCGTCCGTCCATCCGCCCGCCGTAGACCAGCGTCCGCTCGCGCGTTCTACTCGACCAACGGTGGCGGTGGTGGCCGTGGCCGTATAGCGACGACGAAACGCACCGCCGCTCTGCGTCTGCATGCAATCGATTGCGCGTCGCGTTACAACGTCGCGCGCGCACACAGCCACAAATAACGCGCGCACACACACACACACACACACACACACACACAATTTAACGTGCGTAATCAAACTCACATCAGATACCTACGTTTATTGCCGCATATACAAGGGGGTTTTAGGGGTTTAACCCCTTACCAAAATTATAAGATTATCTATAATTATAATTTTGTATACATATTTTACAATTTACAATTAGTAGTTTTGGTCCACGTGACAGACTTGGTATTTTACTCTTGATGAAAACATGCGATCGGTCCTAATAATAGACCTACATGTCAACAATATTATTTCGCGATTATCTATTGTGACTTTTATACCAAGCGATTTTTCAATATGTTTAGTTGGTGTATGAGTGTGTATGCATGTATGTATGGGGGGAAGAGGGAGTTAAAATGCATTACCATCGCTATTACTAAAACAACGACACATCACAAGGATCGTTCTAACACAAATTAACAAAATTAGTCGAATCAAACTCTCAATTATTTGATGTTTTACCTATAGAGAGTCTGATAAAAAAAAAAAATGTTGTTTATGATGAAAAAATACAAATTATGGATAGATGTGATCGGAATATGCAATAAAAAGATACAGAGCATATGGTGCATCATCAAATTACATTGAAAAATCGTTTGCTCAACAATTTGTGACTGAAATTCATATGTATTCGTTATATTATTTTCTGATTGTTCTTTCGATCTAATATTGTAATAATTGTAATCGCCATCTACCATAACTACAAATTTTGCTTAAACGAGACCGATATTAGACGACAGAATTGAATTTTCCGCCGGTTTATGTTAATTGTTAATCATCGTTACCAAAGATAGCCCTTGAAAACCCTAAAATCCCCAGCAAAATATTTATCTGCATACGCGCCTGCACACGGACATTATACTTTTAACGCGCGCGCGCGCGCTCGAACACACACACACACACACACACTCTGTATAACGCGCGCGTACACACGCATAATGTAACGCACGCGCGGGAGGGGGTCACCGCCGTCGGTTGGGCGCGAGTCGAGTTTTGCGCGCGGTGCACGTTTCGTTACGTTGTGTGCGTGCGCGTGTACGATATTATGTACGTGTGTGCGTGCGGACGCACGTACGTGCGCGACGACGACGCCTAGCGATTCCCTCGTCGGCCGCCGCGCGTATATTTACTGCGCGCGGCGCATAACGTCGACCGCCGCTGCGGCGGAAAATGTTTACGGTTTTTATTACCGTCGCGGCCGTCGCAGTCGCAGTTGTCCGTGCGTCGCGTCGAAAAGTGTTACGTCGTCTTGTGTCCGGGCGCGCGCGCACTGTATTTTCACCGATTCGAAAACTGTGTGCATCGCGCGGCCATCATCCCCCTGTACGCCGCACATCTGTACTTGCGACGTAATCGCATAATTGTATCCGTGCACTTGTCGAAGCGAGAACAATTAATTCATAATTATTCATACATCGCACCCGTAAGGACCACCGCACGCGCGTAAAACTGTAGTCGGGCAACGTGCGCCACCGTTGTCGGTGCGGTGACATGAAGAAGGCGGCGAGCAAAGCGCGCGACGAAAAGCTGTTGGCCGCCGTACGGGAGAGGCCGGTCTTGTACGATCAATCGATGCACGTGTTTAAGGACTTCGGCGCCAAGAACGCCGCTTGGAAAGAGGTGGCCTCCGCAGTGGTCGGCTCTCAGGACAAACAGGCCGGTTAGTATGGTATATATAGGTATATATATATATATATATATACGTGTCTTGATCATTTCGTTGTCATGCGTAATCATAGAGATGTATCGCTCTGTAGCAACTGCCGGGCGGTCATTCATTCGACTATTGGTTTGAGAGTATCCGTAGCCGACTTCACTACGTGGTGCATAGTTCCGAGATACCTCAGCCCTCAGTGATAAAATGTGGTCATTATTATACATCAAGTTTGTTATTATTGTTATTATATTATCTTTATCCATAAACGTGGAAATGTGCGTACACGCAGCAGTTCTGCGGCAGCACACTTAAATAATTACGATTTATTGAAGTAACAATTACGCCGAACTCGCACTCTCTCCACCCCTCTCGATATCGTTCGCCCTTAGCGCGCGCAGATACACGCCACGCATACCCGTTTGCGCGACCACCATAGCAACAGCGCGACGAATTTTTACGCCTTAAACCGTTTCTCGCTGACGGCCGTGACGATTGATACTCGTCGCTGAGATCGTTCAATACGCGCGCACGAGATTATCATCTTTGTGTTACATGTGTTCCCGCCAAAATCTCTCCGTGCATTTTTTAACTAGTTAACTAGGTGACACAAATGTCGCCCAGTGATTAAACTCGACAATATTTTGAAAGATTAGGCGAAATAATGCGAAACAAACGTGTAATACTATAATCGTACTATGGTATTATATTGACTATTTTGAGGAAAACATTTTTTGTCGCCCAGTGAAAATTCCTTATAAAATTCACTGAAATCTCGCATACCTGTCGCACGTGGCACTCGTATTTAAATATTATAACTGTACAACTATAATACATGACATTTTTTCTAAGCTGCCCCATATATAACAGGGTTATAAACATCAGGGATGTTAAGGGGTTTCACCTCCTCGGCCCTTGCTGCATTACTTTACTACATTACATAGGTGCCTTTTTACATTTTATTGCACTTGAACGAGACAAAACAAACAAATTCTAATTTCTATACACAGTATCGTCGAAAGTTATTCACTTTTATTACTTAAAATTTAATAGATTATCATCATGACCTCAATCCTGTGGAAAATTATTTTTAACAAAACAAAAGAGAATATTATATGTGTATATTTTTTTATTACTCATATACTTGTAAATAAGTAAGAGGAAGACCAAAAAAGAGATGGTTGGATACGATTGAGAATGATAAAGGTCTGTTGGTGTGTGCGTGGAAGTTTAGGATAAGGGTGGCCGACCCCAAATATTTGGAAGAAAGGTGAATGAGAAGAAGACTTGTATACGTATAAACAGGACGAGGCTTAGTGACTGCGTGTACAGGGTGTAATCTATAATTACTATGCTCTTTATGTGCGTGCAATCACCTTGGATACGAGGGATGCATGGTCGAAGTTTCGATTTTTATCGAATAAAAGAATATTGCATATAAATTGTTCTCCTGATTTGCCGAGACCTGCACCATTAACGTCAATTTTTCACCATAAATGATAGATACTTACATACATTATACATTGATTTTTATCGACTGACTGAGTCGTTTGGTTATTCTTGATGTTTTGGTATAATTTGTTGATTGGGTACTAAGTTGCTGGTTGTAAAAAGTCTTGAAATTATAAAGTCATATTTAATAAAATACATTTGAACACATAGACACACGATGGATTCAATAATGTCTAAATTTATCATTTCCACTTACCTGTGCCGGCCTTTTCCTCCGTAGTCTCAAATAACTTTTCTATTGTATCATCACTGTTACACTAATTTATTTTTGAAATATTAAATACCTAATCTATTATTGTTAAATTTTTAGTGATTTTAGCCATAAGCATTCAACGTTTATTTGAATTAACTTATAAGTGGCTTTTGTCGGTATACAAGGAAAAATAAAAATGAAAGTAATTCATTTTTTATAAAAACTCCAAAGCAGTAAAATCGAAGTACATTGATTATAATTATATGAATACTTTTATGAAGCGTTTCGTCATCCTAATCATCCCAATCGTACTATTTGAGCATAACAATTTTCTCTTATTCATAAACGCTGACTCTGACTATGTGGTTCTGCATCTTATTTCTATGATGCATCTACGGTCTTGATCAATTGAGCTGTCTAATTATTTAAAATTGTCCACTTGTTCAAGCAGCTGATTTTCTGCTTGGATATTAATTCTACGGATTCGAACTAATTTTTGGATCTGATTATAGAAGCGTACTATTAACTTTTCGAAAGCATCATAATATTATAGATATCATTTGTGTATTCAAAACTTATTCATCGATATAAAATTGAATTTCCCAAATAGCGTTGGAATTTATTATAGGTGGCTATTATAGTTTATAACAAAATTAAACAACAATCTGCCATGAATTTAATTTTCGGTATTTATTTAACTGAAGTATGAGTTTAAAATTCAAATTTCGCTGTTTTTTTCAGCGCTTATCAGCTTCCCAGTCATGTTTTGCGTATATAGCCGATAACGGAAAAACTTAATAATAACTAATGAGCATAGAGTTAAAATAGTGCAATATTATATATTATATGTTAATGAAATATATTCCATTCGCATGTGCGCAAAAAAAGTCTTCCGAAACAACTACACATTTTATTAAAATAATTTGTCAAACATGCGTTTAGCCGTATGTGTGATTTTATTTATTATCTATGAAAAAGAAAAAAAGACTTGTATCACGGAACCTTATCCTCCCCCTGCTATACTATAGTATATTATAATATTACTGATATACGATAAAGAAAAGTGATAATAATAATAAAAAAATTATTGAAAAACTAATAAATTGTTCAAAATCTAAAAAGGACAAATAAAATTGTTATATTCGCTCTTCATTAACTTACTCGGTAAACACGTGACGGTAACAGTACTATTATTTTATACGTCTATCTTTATGTGTTTGTGTTTGAAAATAATTGTTTTCTTGCATACTACCACGGTTATACAACCGAGAATCTAGCATCTAGACGATGTTAGTGAGAAAAATAACAAAGGGTACATTATATTATTTAAGTGGTCAACTTGTGACTTTTATGATTGTTTAACTTTATTCATTATTTTTTAATTACACAATAATGAAGTACAAGTTCAGAGGAAATCTTAAAGTAAAGTAGCGTAAAAAGAGTTCCTTTTAATCCCGGAATAAGTGCACTTCAATTATTTTCCCTTGAATGATTATAGAACTACGTATTTTCTATTACATAAAAAAAATTGATAAAAGTTCAATCGATTTATTTTATTTTTAAACTTAGTTTATAATTTTAATGTCAAAACTCCATATTAATATAATATTTAAACTCATCCATACTTGCCATCGATTAATAATAGAAATTTAGAACGTAACATAAACTGTACTAACTGTACTAAACTGTACTGTAACTAACGTAACATTAACTGTCGCATATTGATTATGGAGATAAAATAATCAAATAAATCATATAATGTACTCTAAATAAATTAGTTCGTATATGTATTTCGATTAAATAAATTATTATAATATAATAAATATTATAAATTATAATAAATGCATTTTAATTAAATTTAGTCGTATTTTAAAAAAAAGGCAGTATACCATTTTTGTATTATATCATACATTTGTTAGTTATTATACAGTTTAACTTAATATATAATAATATGTTAAATTAATTAAATTCTTAGTAAGATATATAGCTTTAAAATTTCAATTAGTTGTATATTATATTTTCACTGGCGCAAATAAAGGAGGAAGACTTGGCAAAAGTTAGTCCCTCTTAAACTTGTTTTAACCGCTTAAAATTCAACTCTTGAGTACCTATTAAATACTATTTGATATTTCTTCATGTATGACATTTGAGACGTATGAGACGTATGATTTCTGCAATATCCGCTCAAATAAGTTGCGTCGTTAATTATCATTAATACTTTATATTTAACATTATAAAAGGATACATTTGAGTTTTATTGAGGAAAATAAATTTAAAATTGTATGTAATTAATAGTAATTTTAGTTGTCCATGTATTTAATTTTATTTGTTTTTCTTTCGATTTCTCGTAATTGTTACGTATGTTGATTAATTTATTATTTATTTACAAATTTGACTATCAAATCTCAACATTTAATATAGCTAAATTTAAAAATCAATCTTGCCATAAGGAAACTGGAAATACTTGATTTAAAATAGGATAAATTATCTTTATGCCCGTATAAAAAATGTAATAGTACTGGATCTTGTTGTACTAACATGTAGCTAGGGATTTTTTCTGTAAAAGAACTACATATAAGTATGGTGCCTCTTTATTTGGTTTCTTTCTTTACCTCACAATTTCCACAAAAATTTTAACAACGTATTGGAAACTATTATTGTTATTTTATACAAATATTTTGTTCAGTTTTACATTATTAATTAAAATTAAGACATGTATTTTATAATTTGTGTAATAATTTTTAAACCGTGAAAAATTATTTTGTTGTTAAGATATGTAATATTTTATTAATATAGATTTCGAAAAATTCGATGAATTATAAATAAATCGTTAAATAAAACAATGGAAGTTTAATTTTGAAAGTATCTTATGAAAATAGTATTTCTACAGTATGATTTTATAATGCTTATATTTTTTTATTTCGGTACTTACATACTATATTGTGATTTATTAGGTGTATATACATCCGAGACTAATGCTCAGTGTTTTGTAGTTTTCAATATTCTTGTATAATTAGACGTTAGGTGGTGGCCCAAGTGGTGCAACAAATTTTTAAATTATGAGACTTATTTTTTTTTTCTAGATATGAATAATAAAAATACATTTAAAACTAAAATAAAAACACGTACATTGTATTATTGTACTGTAATTTACTGAAACTGTTAGTAATAAGTACAGATAGCATGACTTTTTTATCCTGGCATGATTTTGTTGGAGGCACATTCCGCCGCGGAGGCCGGTGCTCCTCATAAACATGCCTATGGTTGTAGTTAAGCATAACACGATTTAAAACCATGTTTTCTCTCATTTAATTCGTTTAATGAAATAAATTCTCTGACACTACCAATATCTTCTTCTCAGCCCCGCAATCCCATATATTATCTCTAAGTGTAATTTTTTTAAAAATATTTTTTATAGATGGAGAGGAAAATAATGGTAAAATAATAAGTATTTTCAACCTATACTTTATTATTTACTCTTAGATCTGTACCTTTTTATCCTCAACAAAAAAATGACAACACGATTTTTTGAAATAAAAATAAATGTTGATCATTTAATAGCGTGAATCAGAGATTTTTGAAAATCTTTAACGGAGAATGTAAATAAAAATGATATGGGGATCGCATGGTTACTGGACTATAAAAGAAGTTGGGAGACACTGGTCTAAATTGACGTAGGTCAAAAAACACGTAGGTCGATCAAAGAAAGCCAAAAATAAAAAAAAAATGTAAGATGACGGCCGTGACAATAATATCTGGATCTTGTTTCAGTGGAACAACTGAAAGTCCGGTGGAAAACCTTACGGGACGGTTTCGTTCGACATTTGAAGAAGAAGAAGACCTTGGAGATGTACACGGCCGCCGCGGCTATGCGCCCGTACAAGCTGGAGAAGCAAATCGCGTTCCTGTTGCCGCACGTGTCATTCCGCGACGAGGACGAGAACGGCGGAGTCAGCAACGACGAAGACACGTCTTCGCTGGCCGACAAGACGAACGACAGCGACTCCGCGCACGACCAGCAGACGGCCGACATGCTACTGTACGAGCAGTTCAATTTGGACAAGGCATGCAGCAGCGAGCACGACGCTCTGGACAGATCGATCCACTTCCTGTGCGACCAGCGGTACAAGGCGGCCGTCGCGACCAATTACAAGTAAGCGTGAGTCCTCCGCAGCAGCGCAGTTCTCGGCAACCCCCTACTACTGCTCTCTGCCACAGCTCGTTACGCGGGCGACCAGGATGTGTGATTCTTCACCGAGACCGCTGTTCGTCGTGATACCACCGTAGGTGTATGCAGTAGCGGGAATAGGGGGAGGAAAACGAAGTTTTATCCCTGGCGTAAAATTGTGGAGAGTGTAATTTTCGTTGTAAATAGTTTATTGTTGACTGCTAGTTTGATATTTTTAACTTGTTTACTGATAATGTGTTTAAAACTCAATTAGTATTATTGTATGCAAATTATTAGAAAAAAATTATAGGGAACGGTATTTGATTCTTGGTCTATTGTAGGGAGTAATTTTAAAATTTTTCCCTGCAGTAAAAATCCCTAGTTTCGCCTTTGGGTGTTTGCAAATATCGAGAGAAAAACGAGTGACGGTACGGGTTTCGGATCAGTGTTGACTCGTCGAGTAACAAGTACAGGGCCGTCATCAGTGGGCAACAAGACCATTTTGTCCCAGTCTAAAAAAATTTAAAGAGGGCTACTTTCATAAGCGGAAATTTGGTGAAATTAGTGGGGGGCTGAGCATTATTTGCTTATTAAACCTATAGGTATCCCTGTACGTTATTATTTATTTTAACAAGGCAATTTACAAAGTTTGACAATTTGAAATACTCAACCAAAATAGCAATTATGTGCCTTATCTTAAACATTTTTGGATTAGGTATTCTAAACAGAATTAATTAATTAAATTCAACAACTAATGCAGGTATTATTAAATATTATTAATATTACATTAATTACGATCGTTCCAAGTCATGACAATAAGTTTGTAAAATCTTACGAATTTGACTTAATTTTTATCGAAGAATATTTTTTTTTAATGACGTGCTAGAGCTATCTGGCAACGCACTAGACTCTCATCCGATAAAAACATATTTAATAATCTCGCATCTTCACTAAAACGAATTCTAAAACAACTCAGAAACGACGATTTTAATTCTTGGGTCTCTTCACTAACGTCAAAAAATTGTTCTCTTTGGAAGGCGAATCGGAAATGCTTAAAGCAAAAGCCCATAAATTCCCCTTTAAAAAAAGAAGATAATACTTGGTGCAAAACGGATAAAGAAAAGTCAGAATTTTTTCGTTCACACTTAACCAAAGTCTTTCAATCACATCACGACATTGTAAATAACGCCTTTGAAGAATATATTGAAAACTCCCTAATTTTCCCCTTCCTCTTTACCTACCTCCAAAACCATTTATACCTGGCGAACTACAATATTATATAAAACTGTTTCCTCTCAAAAAAATCTCCTGGTCTAGACCTTATTATAGATGAAGTAGCTTGCCAGCTACCAAAAAAGTGATTACACACCTCACTCATATATTTAACTCTATCTTAAGACTGTCCTACTTTCCTCTACAGTGGAAAACTTTTATTATAATTTTAATTTTAAAACCAGGTAAACCGCCTGAAACCTCTTCTTCATACCGTCCAATAAGTCTTCTGCCTCTTTTCGCTAAAATCTGTGAAAAATTAGTATTGAAACGTATCTCTCCCTTCATAAATAGCGTATCAACCATCCCACAAACCCAATTTGGCTTTCGCAAAGGCCACTCAACCATCTACCAAATACATCGGCTAACAGACTCAATAACTAACTTCCTGGAAAAAAAAGAATATTGCTCAGCTGTTCTCCTCGACGTGGCACAAGCATTCGATAAGGTTTGGCATCCCGGCATTCTGTACAAATTGAAAAAAATCTTACCCCTCCTTACTACTTATTCTTTAAATCTTATATCGAAGACCGTTACTTCACAACAAAGGTAGGCTGTGAAATTTCAACTTTAACCCCCTTAAGCTGCAGGAGTCCCCCAAGGTGCCATCTCATCTCCCATTCTGTTTAATCTATACTCGGCAGACCAACCCACGACACATCACACTTCTGTTGCGGATTTCGCGGACGACAAAATTATTTACACCTCACATAAAAACCCTTTAACGGTTGGTTATAACCTACAAACTCATTTAGATCACATGTCGTCCTGGTACATGAAATGGAAAATAAAAATTAATCACACTAAATCGTCTCATTTAACCTTTACCTTAAAACAAGGAGTTGTACCACCTATCACTTTTAATGGTCTTGTCATCTCAAAAGTTACTAGCTCTCGATACTTAGGCTTAATTCTGGACCAACGTCTAACCTGGGCAGACCACATTAAAAGCAAACGAGTTCTCTTAAACGCTAGACGTAAATCCCTCTTCTACTTAATCGGCAAACACTCAAAACTCAACATAAAAACTAAACTACTTTTATATAAAACTCTATTGATGCCTATTTGGATATATGACATCCAGTTATGGGGAGCTGCCAAAAAATCCAATATAAACAAAATTCAAACCTTTCAGTCCATAACTCTTCGCATAATTACAAATGCTTCATTCTATGTTTCAAATCACACTCTACATACCGACCTAAGAGTTAACACAGTAGATGAAACTGCAAGGCTACTATATAAGCGATTCCGTTTACGACTATCCAACCACCCTAATCCCTTAATATCAGCACTAAACTCTGACACCATTCCTGGCAATCCTCCGCGTAGATTAAAGAGAAGATGGTGTCGTGATCTAAACCAAAATTAATTAATAACTATAAATTAAACTAACTTCTGTTATAAAGTGTTGCTATTGGGTGGCTTCTTTTTTCAAGCGTCGCATGTCAAGTAAATCATTGTATCCGCATCCATGCTTATTGTAAATTTAAATTACAGATTGTATGTTTTTAAAATAAAGTTAAAAAAAAAAAAAGTTCTTATTTTGTATGCCTGTAAGTGGAATAAATTTAATTTTAATTAAATGCGGTGTTTGGTAATTCATTGTTGAAAAGTTTTATTTTAAGAAAACATAATTAATTTTATCGATGCATTTAAATGACCTTGATTGGTTGAGATTTGGAAAAATAAACATATATATTTACCAACACTTTGCAAACTTGGTATGAATTTTCTTTTTTTATACTCGTATTATATTGTGATGGTTGAGCCAGGCTTTAGGCTCTAAGAATCCTTAAGATGGGTTTGAACAAGAATATATGATTCTTATCACTATGCTCTTTGGCTACTGTTGTACTGTTTGTCTACCGACACCCTAATTTAAATCCATAAAAACGGCGACACACTTAAAACGATTGATAGATTTTCGAAACAGCAAAATTTACAAACCCATGTAAATTAATACATTTAAATATTGAAATTTTAAAAAATAAATAATAAATAAATTTATTTAAAATTTAAACAGTCCAAAGAAAATATTATAGATAAAAAACATCATAAAAAAATAAAAGTATCATAATAAACAATATTAGTTCATAAAGAAATGTATGCGATTCTTGTGATCGGCAACTGAACATAGGTCTTCGAGTGGTGGGCAAATGGCTGACAAACTTACGCGGTAATTTATTTTTAATATCTTTTAGCGTAGGCCATTTTTTGCGTTTTGTTATTTCTAATGTTGAAAATACTGATTCACACTAAAATTATGTTGAAAAAGGAAACGAAATGTTCAATACTTTCTTGCTCATTCCGGCATATTCGTTTTGTAGAGAATTACAAAATGAATTATTTTGAGACATACAGTTTAGATTATAGGTTCTTAACCGGAGATCCATAGATGGTTACTCGGGTGTTCACGGGGTGACTGATGTTGGTTTCTATTCGCTACTACCTATCTCTGTGAGTCTGGATTTTCTACAATAGTCACAATAAAAACTAAAGCAAGAAATCGAATGGACATTTAGGACGATATGTGCGTTGCTCTGTCCAATACGGTCTCAGATTTCAAGACAATATTCTAATCAAGACAACAGTAAATGTCACATTAAAACTTGTTTTTAAATAAAAGAACAGTGATTATTGCCCTGAGCCTGATGAGTAGTTGTTAACGTTGCGATGTCTGGTTCGATATTGGTCAAAGCTAAACGTATATCACCTTTGTTACAAATGTCCAACCGATTTCTTTGTTTAGTCAAAATCCAAGGCTGGGCATTAACGAATTAAAAGTTAAAATTAAGGATATAAATATACTTTACCGGACACTTTTTTTTTTTGAAACATTGTAGTTTGGTGTACTATAAAGGATAGTGAAGACAGAATTTGGTGCTCGAACTTAGTTTTCAAGTTACAGACCTGTAAAGTTAAACATTTTTTTACAACACTCTTGAATAGTTTGTTTCATAATACTATCATTATTTTTATGGTGCAGTGGTCTGATAATCGGATTCGACGCGGAACATCGTGTTCAATTTCGATCCGATCACAATAAACTTTTGCATTAGATAGATAGAGATTATGGTTTTATATTGTGGTTATCAATTGGTACCACTGCTGGAGCACTGGTATCAGCCGTGATATCCTTTTTCGGACAACTACATTTTACAGATCACAAATTAAGTTAAAATATTTAGTTAATTTTAATTAAGTTAATTAACTCGTTACTTTTTTTACAAATTAACTTTAAACTTAATAAGTTACCTTTTTTTTAAGATCAATGTGTCAACTTTAAGTTAATATTATTTAAAAGTATCTTAATTAAGTTAATTTTAGTGCAAAAAATAATGCAAATTACTAAACCTGTCGCTGGTCGCATGATTTTTTTTCCTACATTTGGTCATTCGAAATAAACGTTCAGTCGCGCGGGGTAAATATTCTCTAAACAGAATTTTTTTCTTTAAGGTTCCCACATACTGCCGCGGTGGCGGTGCACTGTGGGGTATTTTCGATATTTTGTGGCCAAAATGTAATAATATTATATAACCATATTATATTCAACTATAACTATTTATTAACATCAAAATATATTTTAATAACAAATATATATAATTATATTAATTTGAAGACGTACGAGTCACTAGTGGTGTCATTATTCGTGTCAATTTTATGTTAAATAATTTCATCCGATGTTGGCAAAAGCATATCCAACACTTCTT